AGCTGATAAAAAACGTGGCCATTGTGGTTTTAACACTTCTATGACAGTTCTTCTCTTCTTTTTATGTTTTTTTTTAAATACATCTTTAATCTCTTGAAAAAAGCTTTTCTTCTGACCGATTGTTGTTGCTTGTATGAAAAGTCTTACAATAGCATCAAGTTGAAAGAGAAAAAAAGTATGCGAGAGATGATCTTCAGATCGAATTGTTTTTGCAGATTCCAATACATGTTCAACATGACGGAGACGTGCTTCAATAAAAGCTGTACGAAGTGAATCAAGTGCTTTTTGTAATTCATTTAGACGACCATTAAAGTCATCTCTACTAATTATTGAAGATGACATTAAAGTTGTAACAACTGTTGATTGACATAAACTAAGATGAAGAAGGCTAGCTTGAAGTTCACTTGTAAAATGGCTATGATATTCATTGAATTGACATTGTTTAACCATTAGTTGAAGTGAACATACATGAAACATTAATGTACTAATTAGGTATTCTTGTTCTATAAAACAAATATTTTATATTTTATATGTAGAAAAAAAAAGAATCAAATAACCTTGCAATGTTAGATCAATAAGATGTCTTCTTCTTCGATTGAAAATTCGTTGTAAACAACGTGATGGTTCCATACGAGCTTCATTTAGTCTTGTATGCATCAAGTTCATCGTTGTACGTACCATTTGTTCAATAGTTGATGCTCGAGCAAGTGATACTTGTGCACTCATTTGATCTTTACATAAAAATGCTTGCATTATAATAGTTTCCATTTGTTGTAGATTTGTTAGACAATAATTAACACGATTTTCAACATCAAAAGTCGCAAAAAGTGGAAAGACAACAATAGAAACAATTAGACCAACAAATAGTCCAATGACAAATTCTTCAAGTAAAGTAAAAATAAATGTTGATGGAAGATCAGCTTGATTTACAATAGTTGAGAAAAAAATAGCATTAATCAATAGAGCAATTTTTCTTGTTTGAACCTTACAAAAAAATTGTACATTTTTTTTTACCAAAAATTTCAATATAATTTGATTTACTAGCTAGAAAATATTTACCTGTGAACATTTGTAGGCAACTAAAAGGGATGAAATAAGTAGTGTAAGTTCAGCTGCAAGATAATCTTTGTATCCAAGACCAATCTTTTGAACTACGAAAAGAAAAATTGAAAGAGGTGTCACGGCTGTTAACATTTGATAACTAGCTGATAATGTCATTCCACATGTCTCCTGTATGGATAAAATACACATAACAGGAATTAAATATTGTGTTGTTAATTGCTTATTTAATGGAGTTCCATAAGCAAGAAATCCACCGATAAGAAATGAGACAGTCATTCGAATAGCAAATTGAACACGTCGAGAAAATGCCGACGAAGTGGATTTTGAAGATGAATTATTATAATGATAATTAAAATAAAAGTGACAAATTGTTTGAAAGAATGTCGAAATAGACATTTTACAGTAAACTGTACTTTTCTACTGTAACCTTAACTTTGCTTATTGTATATAATCACTGAATTTATATCAAAGAGCAAAATACAGAACGAACTAAAAAAACGTTATTTGCATCTATTAGAATGAAACAATGTTTATTATATATTATTTGATGTTGCGCTTCAATAATCATCATGACGTAGTTATTTATACTATATTACAAGTAAAAGTTCATTTAAGGACCAATTTTTGAAACAAAATTAATATTAAGTTTATTTTAATTGTACATTCGAATATGTGATTTTTATTTATCACAAAATAAAATACATGTCTTGGAATTTCTTCCCGTATAAAGATCAACGTCATTTCATACAAAACCTTTTCATTTTCAAGTTTAAATAAATTTTGTGTTATATTATTATTAGATCAAGACCTTCTCTTCTTATTTGATACATCAGAAATTTAATATCTTGTAAAACCATCACTTGAATAGAAGAATTAATGAGCAATTTAAAGTCGTGTTAATTTTCTTAGGAAGAAAAATCTAAAGAGACATCTTGTACACTGACCTCGTTCAAGTCTTACTATGTAGAATAGATGAAAAACGACTACGCTGATACGAATACTCACTTAACAGACATTTTTATTATCATTTTCTGGAATAAGATTGCTATGATTGATGCGTGATAAACAAAACCTTACATAAATTCGCTGTGAGTCACTCTTTCAATGAAAAATAAGTTAGTAGAGCTACTTTTGATATAACATTAGTCAGAATTCACCTTAATGTTCTTTTATGCGTTTGCTCTCAGAGTATGACATTTAGAATAATACTCGTGTTATTTTTTGTTGTTATAGCTTGAAACTGATCACATATGCTTTACCTGTTTGTGTTTGACTGCTTTTGTTTTATTTTTCTTATGTTTCTGTTCTAAAAAACGAAATTAGAACCGAGTGATAGTCTTATATTCTATGCGCCATTCATTCAAATTTGATTGATTTTAAATAGTTGATTGTTGTTATTTAGATACTTAAAAACTCGAAATCAGTTGCTATTATTAGTACAGGTGATTTTACTTTAATGTGTATGCTAATACCCTCTTGAATGATTGTTTTGATGTGATGTTTTTTGATCGAAAACGTGACATAGAAAGTGTTTAATACGCAGAATCCTTCTATGCCGATAGCCATACTCAACAACCAGGAAACTCTATAGACTTTTCTGATCTATTCGATAGAAAAGGCACAATCTATCATATTTGATTTTTTTATCGTCTCATGTCAATAACATCTTTGTTTATTTAAGAGTACGCTCCTTGACAGATAGTTAACGATTAGGTTCAAAGATATGCTGATTTATTTCATATAATCAAACGAATTCGTCGTCAAACTCGAGTTGTATCGATCATTGAGATAATAAAGAAAAAAAAAGAATACTTTTCTTGAATCGTCAAAGTTGATATAATCGATGTTTAAAACGAATTATTCAAGTTTGACATAGTTGTCATACTTACCAGTCTTTATTCAGAACCGTTTCTACGAAAACTTTTTGGATGAAAACAAATTTGATAGAGCGATTGTTTATTCACCGAATATCAAATCACCTGATCAAGTAGAAAATAAGTATATAATAGTAATGGATTGTGGTACACATGATATTGATATATTAGTTTCTGCTAATCATTTTTCTCATTCATGCTATTTAATATTTCAAGGGGTTCATTGGATGAGTCCACATAAATTCACTGATGGTTAAGTATCAGTCCGATACTTATGCACATATATATCTTGCATCCTTTGTACACCATCTCCTGATACTTCACATGCTACTCTATTTCGTTTTCTTCATCGAAAATTTTCATGGTTTTTTTTTACGAAAATTATTGATACTATGTCCACTGATATATTAGCTACTCATGGATTTAATCTTTTCGGTGATAAAGTACTTGTTCGTTAACATTTATTTCAAAACGAAGGTAATATTTCAATGATGCCAGAACACTTTATTCCAATGAAAAGAGAAGGTTATATTATTAAAAACCTAGCATCTATTGATGAAATTTTAGATGCAACAACAAGTCCACCTAGTTCTGAAGAAAAAATAAAAACATGATTATTTACGCTACAGGCTTTGTTAGACGATTTTCTTTCTTCTTTGAAAAACATGCTCAAATAATGGTTTTTTCCAAAACATCCGTTATAAGAGCCTTGAATAGGGACACAATAACTATCCTCTGTCTTTGAGTATTACATGTTGGAAAACTAAATATAAGTTTTTTTAGTTTTGGAAGATCAGTATATTACGCTGTGGCTGCTAAAGTAGCAAGTCATTAACTGTGGAATTAGTTTCTCAGGGAACTAAAATTACTATGTAAAACAAAAATCAATGAAGAAATCGAAATAACACGTATATTCCTTCGAGATATACTGTATACAAATGATGCGATTTCAATTATTATTGGATAGAATCAATGAATATATATCAAAACGATATTGAATTAACGCAATATAGAATAAACATTGAGATAACTGAATATTTTGAACTTATCTTTAGATGATTACAATATAAAACATGATAGAATTTCTGTTATTTCAATCGAGAGCATTTAAGATTATGTCTTTCAGTTTGTTAGCTACTACGTACTCTGAACAAGTATGTACCATCGAACATGTAATTATCATATGTTAAGACAAGCATAGAAATAGGACAAAAGACATTTATCTTAATCTCATATTCTTACCTCATAAGATTATGGCAGATATCTTAAGATGTGAGAAAGAATTGGTAAAGACACAAGAATAGTCCAACTGCATTGATTTACAGAAGATTTCAGTTCATTCTTTTTTATGATGTTTTATAGAAATTCGATTATATCACTATAATTCATTTACAAAAGTTCTCTCATCAATCAGAACTAAGAAAAAGATTATGTAAGTGTTAATATTATAGAAAGACATTTTTTACACCATGTATACACAATTTATTTCTTGATTATTTTAATTTATTTATTTAATTTATCTGAACGAAGTTGAATAGAATAGTTTAAAATTATATGACTAATAACAGATGTAAAATCATCTATTAAAAAGTTGTATTTTTTATACGAACAAAGAAGACACTTCTTAAATTAAAAAGTGGTTTAAATCTGCAATACAGTCATGCATTTGAAGTCGATAAGAAACTATTACTTTCCATTTTTTTTACTTCATTTCAGAATATGATTTCATTCAAACGTCGTTTAATTATCATTCTTACCTAATATTTGACATTTATTAATTAGCTTCTACGGCTTCTTTTTCAATGTAACCTTACAATAATTATAATCATTGTTATATTCGAAAGAATATCTTTTTTTACTTATATATTTTCTATCAGAAAATCGAACATTGATGTAGTACTCGAAATATTTTGATTCTGTTTCATTAAACAATGATATCGTTGAAGATACATATATGAATAGTATTTTAACACGAGAATACATAACATAAGTACGAAAAAGCTAGACTAAGTTGAATAGACATGAAATGAATGAATAAAATTTCGTCTTGTCACTTCTTCATATTCAAAGACCATTACCATTGGTAGTTGAATACTTTTGAATATCATGATGTTCATTATTAATCAAAACACATCGTCCCAATGCTGAAGATCGTCCAGTAACAAAAGCTGATATAGGTAAAGCTGCATAAGTAAATACAATAACAGCAATCATTGTACGTGAAGAATGATGATTAAGAACACTTAATGAAGCATAATGAACTAAGCCAGGAGTCATTAATATACAACCAACAAATATTAATAAAGGTGTAATGAATTGACGATCATCTGTTTATAGAATGTCAAGAAGCGAAAATATACCACCAATCAATAAGAATGAAACACCTAAAAAACAAACAATAAATGTTGATGTTGAAAAATGAGAAATGCATGGAACATCCGATCTGCATATTTGAAACAGACCCTAAATATGCAAGAAAAAAAAACATTTTTGTTTTTAATTTCAGAATATGTTATAATATACATACATTCCAACCATAAGCATTTGACTGTCTATCAGTAACAGTTTTTTCATTATGAAATTCGCCAGAAATAATGACAAATGTTCAGTAATTGGTAGCAAGTGCAATAACACCAAGTATAACACCTAAGAATGCAAATATAGCAGCCAATATTGCCAATCGACGATTCAATGGTTCGTAAATCATTATTGCTTCCTGTTTTATCTAACTAGTAATATGTTTAAGTGTAAATAGGAATGGAAAGAAATAGAAATGAATTCGAAAACAGATATACCCATTTATTTATACGAAGAAACAAAAGAACGAAAGAATGAACATCGGTTTTTTTTACAGAGAGATATACATGCCTATCTAAATAGATTATTTATCTATTTTGCACTGAATATCTAGGATATATTTCAAAGATTATAATAGTATAATGCGATTATAAGATAGAATTTCTTTTGTTTAATGTGTGCATAAAAACTTGTCAGACTAATATAAATACATATAGTTGAAATGGAAAGTGTCTATGAATAGTTCTAAATTTCTATAACTGCTTAGTGTGCTCAAAACAAAAAGAAAAAAATTAGTTGAAGTCATAGACACAAGTTGAATCTTGTTTTAACCAATTGTAAGGTCATTGTGCATCAAAATTATTTATCAGTTAAGGACATCCGAGTTAATATTCATTTAAGTAATTCATCTATTGATTATGTCAAATTTTCAAATCTATTAAATTATTTTCATAGTTAATCTTCAGGGTGTTTTAACAGTACAAACGAAAAAAAATATGAATGGTTTTTCAAAATTTCAAATGACTGACATTTTTGCTAACAGTTTAATCTTATATTCAATAAAGTTTTATTCAAATTTGAATCATCCACGATTCTAAAACAAAATCTATTGATCGCACTGTCAAAATACACACCAACCGGATGTTACATTAAGACCACATCCAACGATTCTATGAACTAGTCACTGTTGAAAATCGATCACGTTTGGGAAGACCTAGAGTAATAGCTACAGAAAAAGTCAATGAAATTAATGATACGTGTAATAATAATCTGGGATCATGTATTCCGTATATATAACTCTTCTTCTTAACGTTGTTTAACCAATTGGACACTATATAGCTTTATAGGAATATTAACACATCATTTAAGAAATTGCAGTTTGCAGCATTGAGTAAGAGTGTGGAAAAAACAGAATACTTTATCCTGGCTCATTTTCAAAAGTGTCATTAATTTCGTTGACTTTTTCTTCAGCTATTACTTTAGACCTTTCAAAACGTGATCAATTTTTTTGCCAATAGCTGGTTCACATAATCGTTGAAATTTGTTCCTAGTTCAATATATAATTTATGTATATTTTTCGAATTTGATCTACAGTGTTTGTTTTCAAATCGTGGCTGATTTGCAATAGGTCATGAGTAAAACTATTTCCATGCTCATTTCTATAGGCACAAACATTCACCAGAAAGTATACTGAATAAAAATGTAAAGAAAAATGTCAATCATTCGAATTCGAATTGATCAACAGCCAGTGATATTTCTTCTTCAGTCGGATATTTGAGACACCGTGCATGTTAAATTGCTTGATAGGGTCTACCAACTAGTTGTCACTATTTTATTGAAAATTTTGCCAGATAATCATTTTCGCATTAATTAAATTTTTTCTGTAATGATAAAGCGTAAGTGAGAAAATAATAAATGGATGAATTATTTCCGAAATTACAGAGTCAAAGAGTCAACATAGCGAGTAAAAGAAAATCATGTCACTGTCTCATCATAGATATTGATTCAATATATAGAAGATATGCAAAAACTAAAATCAATAGCTTTTATTTTACGTTGATCATATCAATCATCTTCATCATTAATACATTGTAACATGTTTTCAGTTTTATTTCTGAGAATATATGACACCGAATCGTGTACAATTATTTAATTATATCAGCCTTTGCACACAAAATTATATGCTTAAGATTGAAAATACATAAAAAGAAACCAGAACAATATGATTGATGTGAAGAATACATCATCATCCATGTGAAGTGTTCTATGCTTTTTATATGTAAAAATTATTGAAATATTTGACATGAAATGAAAAGTAGACTATTATGAATCGAATCGTATAATTTATTGTAGAAGTGAACTCATTGAAGGGCGTTGATCTAACGAAAATATCAAACAGGCACTTATCGATTTAACTGTATACGCACTGATAAATTCAGTGTTCACAGTTCTATGCAAGTAATAATTACTTGAATTCAATTGCGGCAATTAATTGATTGTAAGAGACAATGGTTATTTGCTACATGAATTATCAAACCGTACATATTACTATTTGCATAAGATTGCAGAACGTGGCTAATTAATTTCCAAAGTAAAATAGCATAGAGTCGTCCCAAAGACAATGATATATGCAAATAAAAAAAGAAAAAGTATAATATTTACAACCGCAGGGGTTGTAGAAAATCTTTGACCATTGATCGGTTGAATGTGCATGAGTTTTAATGAATGACTTTCTTTATCGTTACATCATCCACAGCCCTATGATGAATGAAAGAACAATATATTAAACTAGAACACAGTAATTTATTATTTCATCATGCATAGTATTGGAAAATGAAAGTAAAGCAAATAATGTATCTTTTTCAATCAGTATTTATTATTTTGCAATACTTACTATATCATTTCTCTTATTATCGAAATATTTTATTGAAAAATAGAATACTATCTAATTATTTATCATGTGATGCACGAAAACAAAGCAAATAGTAATTGCAGTATTAAAAATGCATTGCGATTATCAATGGAAAAATTGAAACGTATTCAAACCCATGCGTCACAATTAGTGAGTAATTAAACCATCAATATTCTTTTTTTAAATTCTTATCGTTTAAATTAAAGTATAAGAATTCAATGAACAAGATGTCGATTAAAATTGAGAAGATAAAAGAAAAAACACCAACCAACATATAGAACATGTTAATCTAAGTAAATAAGAAGATAAAGCATTTGAAGTATTGAAAAAAAAAGATATCAACTGTCGTAGTATATATATATATCTGCACCTAAATAATGCATTGCTGTCTTTTGTCTTCGAGAACATCATCAATCATCAATACGTAAACAACCTGAGCTTTAACTGGTAAAAAGCAAATGAAAACAAGGCACATTAGTATTCACCAAAGGACAAATTAAATTTTTTTTTTAATCGAATTCTATGCACCAGCTGTGTATGTTTTATCTCTTTCTAGATTCTTTTTCCTTTCATCATAGGCAGAACGAAGAGAAAAAAACCTCTTTTGACAAGTGGTACCATCATTAACTATCGCACAGAATTAAAGATTCCTTATTCACATGTTATTCGCGACGATAAGATTTACATCGAATTGTCGAATGTAGTCGAAGCAAACGCTACCGACACTTTTTTGTTCAACGGCACAATGCCTGACCGAACATATCAAACTCGTATGTATAAATAAATAGATTTGTCTCTATTGAAATAACATTTTTGATTTTTAAATTGAAAAAACAAAAACTAGAATACCTTTCATTCGACGACAATAATACAAGTCCCATTGTATTAGCAACAATAAGCAAAAATGGCCAGTGTTTACTTGAACGTTTCTTTTCAATTAATAATGTCTCTGCTGTTAATTCTTACACTAATATATCAATGTCTACAACTAAATCGACAAAAACAAATTTATCGAATGCCGTGCTCATGGCACGACCATTCGATGAATTCACTACCGATATAGCAATAATACCATCTGGTCCTTTAGATACACACAGTTTTGATAAAACAACAAAATCGGACAAAGATTAATAACAAATTTAACCCAAGAAAAAATTATTGAAACACTTATAGACAATTTCGTACGCTTATCATTTTCATTGATATCTTATATCTATGTGAAAAAATGTGAACTTTTAACGATATGTGCTATCATATAAATCAGTTCTTGTGTTGATAACATCTAAAAAAAAGAAAAATGTCACAAAAAAATTTTTTATTTATTCTGATTTTGTTTTTCTACTCATTGAATACAAATATGTTCATGAGCGTTTCATTGATTCGTAATAATAAATCATTTAAGTTTACCTTTATTGACTAAATGAATATCGTATTAAAAGATATGATAATAATTCATTCTTATTATCAATGCTTTGTGAACTATTCATATTTGAGTTTTTTATCGTAGCAAATAAAATCACAATCATCTAACTTTGGATTGAATAATGTCAATATTGCACTGGAACTAACTTTTTACTAGGAAGTTTTCTTGTATGGCACTACCGATTCATCAATTATTTTGACAGCAATTATATAAAAAACGATAGTTATCTAATAAATGATTATATAATCTATTTTATATCTTTGAAGTAAAGGAAAATCACATATTTGAAAAAGAATGTTTAAAGACAAGAGCAGTGACGGATCCAGGAATTTCTGAAGAGGGTGATAGATAAGTGGAAAGTGGAGTCCAATAAGCGGAAGGGGAAGGCGGATGTGATAAAAATGTAAAATATCCAAGGAAAATTATTAGAAAAACACCTTGGAGTTATATTCAAAGGAGAAGGTGGTCGCCACCCCTGCCTTCCTCTGGATCCGCCACTGGACAAAGGATTCTTATCCGATCAAAAAATAGATTAGATTTACAAAGATGTTTTTTAATAAAAAAATCAATATCTTTTATGATGATTTCTTAAACAGTTAAATAAAATATGAACATATACGTGGATAATTATTTGTATGTGCAAATGAGTGAGTCAGAAACTTATGAAATATTGATTTTTAGTGTGTCAACAGTGAATATTAAACAGTATCCAATATCATGCAAATAGTGTTTTTCAATTTTTATTATAGCTCTTATTATAAAATGCATTGGCGCTTAATTATATCTTTCTGTACTGACATCATTCATCGACTAAAAACGCCACGGTCACGATGTATATGTGTCGCTAAGAAGTCACTTTCACACAGTGCGGTTCCAAACCCTGGGCGAATGGCAAAGTCCAAAGTACATTAATATGAATATAGGAAATATTATATTTGCTAATGTATGTCTACTGTTCTGACACTGGTATCATACTAAGGTGATGATACTCTAAAAGATGAATATGAACCATCTGTCACATAAATGAAAATTAAAAATAGAAAATAGTATTTGATCGTATATTATTTTAGCTAGATTTTTTTGGTTCCAAATAGGTTATTAAATATTCTCAAAAGATAAATATACAATATCAGAATAGTCACTACGGGATTCATGGCACAGAGTCTAAAATTTCAACTAGACAAATATTTATGCAAGAAGGTCTCATCATTTTTCTACAGAAACACTTGACTATTATTAATAAAATCTGAAAGACAAATGATTGTTATTTGATACTGAATAAGAATTTTTAGTCTTTTAATCTAAACAAAATATTAATCCTAAACTACCTTACAAAAATATACTACTATCAATACAACATATAAACGATAATATTATATTGTCCAGAAAGAATTTCGAAACTGTTAGAAATGGATGAAAAGATATAGACAGACGTATATAAATCCGTATCGCTTAACTTCTCTGAGAGATCATTGCTACGATTATCATTTTCTTTAAATTGTCTTCATGAAGTTTTAGAAACCTGCAAAAGCTTTATTCTTTGAGGGTGAATACACTAACTGCAATTACTTTTAACTATAGCTATCACTTAAACCACATCGCTCATTCTCTCTCTCTGTTTTAAAAGAACCAGCTGCAACGAACAGTGTAGAATTGATAATAAAAGATCCGCATCCTCTAAAAAAATCTTGATTTAAATCTTTTTAACCGTTTTTCCGTTGAAATATTGCTGAATCGTGTTTATTGGAGAATAAAAGTTAAGAAAGATAGACGAGCAAAAAATAGTTTATGTAAGCATAACAGCAATATATTTGTTCTTCGGATAGAAAAAACAACAACTATCGTCAGCTGGAGTGTAACCGAGAGAAGAAAAGAGAGCTATAGATGGTGCGAGGAAGAGACGACAATTTATGTTAAACTTTATGTGTATCAGCAGTAATATATATTTACTAAATATATACAATATTGAAAAAACAACATCGTGCACTTCTTTATGATGATAAAGAATCAGGTTTTGCTAAGATAAGACTCATGATTTCATGTTAATTTATTATAAATTTTCAAGAATTTAAATTTAAATTGAATTCAAAGTCGATGTAAATGGACTTATGAGGGAGGTACCCGAAGTGATTAATTGGTTTTGAGCTGGAACTCTGTGCATAAGGTAGACCTCAGTAAGATGCGAAAAACTCCAAAAGGATAAGGACCCATAGGCCTTTCCTCCAGAGTTACAGCCATTTTACTGGAATTTTAGTCTATAGCATGGTATACACTAACAAATCGAATGACGATATTTCGGTCTGAAATCTTGCCTACAGATAGGTCTACTTGTAACTAGAATGCCCTGAAATTTTCAGCTAAAAGATATGTTTTCTTCACGAGATATCAAATCTCCAAAAATCACTCATATTTCATGAAAGATGTGAGAGGCTCCTGTCTTTTTGAAGGTTCAATATCTCGTGAAGAAAACATATCTTTTAGCTGAAAATTTCAGAGCATTCTAGTTACAAGTAGACCTATCCGTAGACAAAATTTCAGACCGAAATATCGCCATTCGATTTGTTAGCGTACACTATGCTATAGGCTGAAATTCCAGTAAAATGGCTATAACTCTGGAGGAAATGCCTATGGGCCCTTATCTTTTTAGGGTTTTTCATATCTTACTGGGGTCTACCTTGTGCACAGAGTTCGAACTCAAAACCGATTAATCACTTCGGGTACCTCCCCCGTTAGATTGGATCTCATTGGACTCTTATTGGATTTAAAAAAACTTCAAGCGAATTTCAATGTATTTAAATTGCATTCAAATGCATTAGAATTGGATTTAAACCGATTTGAACACATTTAAATCCATTCAAGGAGAACTTCCCTCAGAGATGCTGTCGTGCACAAATACATAAATAATATATAGACATCATGTGACAGTTGTCTTGAAAGTTGAACAAGAATATGTCTAAGAACGTCAATTAGTGCTGTATCAATAGAAGCTTCATCGAATCTGAATCTGAATCTGGATTTTTCTATACACGTTGAATTCTGATTCTTATCATCAATAAACTAATCATGTTTTCTAGTTGTTCCTAAATTTATCTTTAGACAGAAAGAGATATTTCAATAGCCTTTATCCAATAGTTGTTGTCTCCACATAAAACGAAAATATAAATTTGACTCAATATTAATTGAAGTAATCAAAAACAGAAACAAACAGAATTCCATTTTTTCTATTCTGTTGTTTCTATATTTCCCTGTAAAAAAAAGTCCACGATGGTTTTAGTTTTCATTTCTGATTGGTTTAAGAAGATGATAGAAAAATGATAGATATCGCTGTAGAATATATCATCTTGTAGTATGAATAATTCTTCTAGAAAAATCAGATTTATTTTTTGAATACTTCATATGTTATTTCAAAATGAACTTTATTTTTGTAATTTGATTGGTTAAATAATTAATCAAACAAAGAGTATCATTATCATTTACTTAATCAGGTCAACGAATGAAAACAACATAAACAACAAGATTGGACAAATGTCTATAGTTTGAATACCTCCGTATTATGTAAAAAAAGAAAAAGAAAATCGCAGTAATCATTATAAACGAGCTTTATATTTTATTGAAAAAATATTGTCTTTCGTGATTTAATCATTTTAGATATGAATATTTAAGATAAAATTGAATCCTTCTAATAAGTAGTTTAAATTTAACTACTTAACATCATGGGTGTACCAAAATTTTATCGATGGATATCTGAACGATATCCTAATATCAGTCGAGTGATTAATGATAATCAGGTATTATTATTTATATATTGAAAAATAAAATTAAAATATTCTTTATTTAAAAATAAAAACAGATCCCTGATTTTGACAATTTCTATTTGGATATGAATGGAATAATTCATGCATGTTCACATATAAATGATGATAATTGTGAAACAAGTGTAACAGAAGAAGAAATATTTCGAAACATTTTTCATTATATTGATGTAAGCATATTTGATAGTATTAAAATATTTTTATAAAATATTTTGTTTGTTCAAGTTTCTTTTTCGAATGATTAAACCAAAGAAAGTCTTTTTTCTGGCTGTTGATGGTGTTGCACCAAGAGCAAAAATGAATCAACAACGAGCAAGACGATTTCGGGCTGGTCGAGATCGTATTAAAAAATTGAAAACATTAGCTGAAAAAACTGGTCAAACATTAAAAGAAACAATGGCTCATCATTTTGATACTAATGCAATTACACCTGGTATAGTCAACATAATTTTTTGCTTTTTGTTTTTACATGGAACCAATGATTTCTTCTTTATCTCAAAAAAAAAATAGTTTATAAACTATTTTTCAAAAATTTATTCAAGAAACTTTCTATTGCGGAAGAAGTAGTAGGACAACTGTTTCTCCTTGGTTTAACATGAAGGGTGTCCTGCTGTCTCTTTTTTGACCAACAATTGTGACTGTCCTTTTCAGATTCATGCAGTTTGGAAAGTCAAAACCTCAGTTTTCACTCCAAACTTTTATCTATTTCTCTCATACAAAAAGCAAACTAGGATTTCGAAAACACTCAAAACTATTTTTGAAACATAGTTTGAAGTATCTTGAATACCATTTTCAGTTGGATCAGATAAGATTGGATGGAGTTGTGTAGTGTATCAGAATGCAATCATATGGAAAATCAGGGTTTTTCTGAAAAAAAATCCTAAAACGCTCTTGAAAATTTTTCCTCCAAGATACCGTATATGTAGTAAAAATTACAATCTGACCAATTGTATCCTCTTTGAGAATCAGGAATGCAAAGACGAGCGGGAAGAGTATCGTTAAATGCTATCGAATAATCTATAAACGAAATTTTTATAAAAAAAACTTATTAAAGACTGCCTTTTCGAGAAAAAAAAATGTCATTCTATACCGAGATATTGATAAGCGAAAGGTTTTTTATTTTATTTTTTACTTAATAAAAGATACTTTTAAGGAACAAAATTTATGACAAATCTTGATGAACAATTAAAATATTTTATCAATGTTAAACTCACTACTGATCCATTATGGGAAGGTGTTGACATTCATTTATCAGGTCATTTGGTATGTATCAAATACTACAAAATATATATTTGTATTAGATTTCAATTATTATTGCAATGAAATAGACACCAGGTGAGGGTGAACATAAAATAATGGAATATATTCGTTACACACGTTCACAACCAGGATATGATATTAATACTAGACATTGTTTATATGGACTTGATGCTGATTTAGTATGCTAATATTCTTGATTTTTAATAGAATTGGCTACTATTAATATTTATTTAGATTATGCTTGGTTTAGTTACACATGAAATGCATTTTGCACTTTTACGTGAAGAAGTTAAATATAATTCAAAAAAGATCTCCAAAATGTTAGTTGTTTATTTATAATTATTCAATTATAAATCTATTTTATTTTTTATTAGTCTGACACCAGAAGAAATCAATTGGCATTTATTACAATTATGTTTACTACGTGATTATATTGATCTTGAATTTCGTTCAATTAAAGTAAAGAAATAATAATAATAAAGATTTATGGAATATTATTTTTTGTTTTGAAGGAAAAATTGAAATTTCCATATGATCTTGAAAGTATTGTTGATGATTGGATACTTATGGGTTATTTAGTAGGCAATGATTTTATTCCACATTTACCACATGTTCATATTAATCAAGATGCTTTACCACTTCTGTGGGAAACATATAAAATAATATTACCAACACTTGATGGTTTGTATCAAAGGAATTGGCGTTTTTTACACAGTTCATATGTCCGCATTAGTGTTTCTTTTATTTAACTATTTTTTGGTTGTGAATGTTGTCATGAGCTGATAGAACATAGCTAGACACGAAATATTTCCAGTATTAGTAAAAAAAATGATCATTTTTACAACAGGCTCACTTCCACGTAAAATACTCAGAAAACGGTTAGTATTTCTAGATTTCGATGATTACAATTTACTTTTTTTTTTATTGAAAATAAGTATGATTTCTGAAATCTATATGCAAAAGGGCACTGAAAATTTGATCTTTCATGAGAATAGGTTTCTAGTCAACGTTTATCAGTAGGGAATAGATACAGACTAAAATTTTATAAATAAAAAACTGTGGAGTAGTGCAGCAAAAGTTTTAACCAGGGATATTTCGCGATGAAACGTAAAGTTTCTCATGTATTTTTACATGCTAATTCCGAAAACCACACTTATTTCTAACAAAAATCAATTTTTGATAATCAGAATCTAGAAATATTCTTGGGTTTTTGATATTTTACGTAGAAATGATTCTGTTTTGAAAATAATGTTTTTTTTAACTACCACCGAAAAATTCAAAGTTTAGCTCAGAAGTTTCGATATCACAATATCATCCGTAATTCAAAAAAAAGTACTGTGAGCAATATGTACAATTGTCATTAATCATGTTCTATGAATTATTGATTATTACATAGATCTTCTCTCTTCAAAAGTTCGAATCATAGTTACAAATATAATCATTCTTTTAACTTTTTTTTGATACATTGTTGAAACTAGACTGGTGATAAAAGCTTCACTTTTTAACGACCAATCATTGTGAAATTATAGACTAAGCAACCTCTTTTATTTACTAAAAAATAAGTGTGTAACGAAGTACTTTTTACTGATAGATAGCACTCATTTATAAAGTGATTGTTTAAGATGATTTTATCTTTATTTTCTAGGGAATCTCTAGTAAAGGTTTAGTTATTATTCATGCAACTATAGATGACATATAAGTCAAAATACAATGGTTGTTAGAAGGATTCTTTTCCTGGAGTATTGCTTTTTCTTTGATAAGACAAAAAAATGCCCAAGGTTCTGCTATAATGTTCTCATATCCTTAGAACACTCGAAACAAAAAACTTAGCTGAGGTTATAAACGTCACTTTCTCTTTCCAGCAAAACTAAACACTAAGCTTAATTATTTTAATATTTTTTTTTGTTATTTAGGTTATATGAATGATTCAGGTGATTTAAATTTATCACGTTTTCAAATCTATTTAACTGAACTATCAAAATATGATTATGAAAGATTTAAAAAAGAAAATGATTCATTACAACAATTAGAAAAATTCCATGTATCAAATACAAAAAAATCTGAACTTGACAGAGATCAAACTCCAAATACGGGTTTTAGTGTTGATATAATGGAGAAATTAATGATAACAACAACAATAAATCTTAAAAAAGAATCTAATGGTAATAATGAAAGTGATTCTAATGGTCAAATGATTGATAATTTCATTAGTAATGAACGAAAAACACTAAATATTCCCTCATCATCATCATCTGATGATGATGATATTCCACCACCAGTGTATCCCGATGCTGATGATGATGGTCTATCATCAGATTCTGAACATTTTAGTGATAATGATAATGAACAAAAGAAAATTTTAAGAATATCATCAAAAATAATTTCAAATGAAAATAATGATTCGACATCAACAATTGAAGTTCAATTTCGTCAACATAAGAATCATTATTATCGTGACAAAATGAAAAGTGGAGTAGTATCAAATGAAAAACTTCAAACATATGTTCAACAATATATTGAAGCATTACAATGGATTTTAAAATATTATTATCAAGGTTGTCCATCATGGTCCTGGTTTTATCCACATCATTATGCACCATATTTATCAGATTTAACTGATTTTAAAGATCTTCAATTTACATTCGAGACAGGAACACCATTTAAACCATTTGAACAACTTCTAGGTAAATATTTTAATTCTGAAATGAATATCTAGGATACAAATATCAAATTGTTACAATAAAAGCATAAAAACTATACAAGAGACTTGATTTTAAGAACAGCATCTAATTAATGCTTATCAATGAAGTAATGGTCATAGTTAACTAGTGAGTTTTGTTAGCGTAGTTTATTAAGTGTTCTCAATGTGCATTTGAACAATTTCAAGATTGCGAATAGTAATTCGAGTAGAGAATACTGTTTCGGAAAAGAATATAATGAAATAAAATTTATTATCATATTTACAATGATGAGATTTTTAGATAACTAAAATCGTAGTTTTTCAGCATCGAGAACATGTTATTATCATTTTATTCAGTCTGTATAGAGTAGTAGAGTAAACTATACTCTACAAAATGAGACGTCTCTAATTTCTATATCTTGCTTTTTAGCTAAGACTCAGCAATTTGATTGAAATATAACACAAGACTTCAGGTGTTTCCGTGAAATTATTGTATCTCAACTAAAAAACATTGTAGAAAACTCGAACACACCATATTTTGTAGAGAATCGTTTGCTCTGTCGTTGCCTATAGTCTCAAAAAGAATATTTACACGTTCTAGATGCTGAAAAGCTAGAATTCTATTTTTGAAGAGTTTCTATCTTTGAGATAGTCTCAGTATGAACGAAGGATAGACCAAAGTTCACATCCACATCGAAAACATCGGTTCATAAGAGTACATCAAAGTGCATGGCAATATGTAATAGCACAGGGTATCAATATTACGAGCTTAGTTACGTGTTTTTTGCTTTCGCCAGAAAGCTATGTGTGGACATAGTTTCTTGATTAAAATCCGTGGCATATAAATCTCGTTGACAGAGATTATGACTGCGATTGAGAGAACAACTGTGATGAAAGGAATTCTCAAATTATAGATTCATAAAGATAATATTTGTACTAGTGTATATACATAAATGCAGATAAAAACATCTATAGTCATCAAGAAATTTACAACTTCGTTTTGTTAAGAGAACCGATAGTACGATAAACAATTTAATGTTTTCTTGGTCGAAGTTTTAAATATTTTCATAGATGATATTTTTAAAATTTGAATAATATTTTGTTGAATATCTCTTGTTCAGATGTGGGTCACAGTCTTCTGAAATATAAAGTCGTAAGTCATTAAATAACAAATTGTAATTGTTTCTGTTAATTTGCTCAAGAATAAAATTCACCTTTTGTTCGAAATAATGAAAAAAGAATTAAAATTTTTTTTTATTTTCCTAATAAGCATATGTATATCGATAATAAACTATTATTATTATAATTATTTTCTAGGTGTTCTTCCACCAACTAGTCGTTATTTATTACCAACTGCTTTACAATCATTAATGGTTGATGCTGAAAGTCCATTATTACATTTCTATCCAGAAGATTTTCTATTAGATCAAAATGAAAAAAAACAAGACTGGGAAGCTATTGTTCTATTACCATTCATTGATGAACAACTTCTTTTAAATTCAATAAAAAAATATTATCCAAATCTGGATGCTAATGAACAAAGTCGTAATCAACATTTACCATCATTATGTTTTAAATCGACAACAACTTTACATTCAATTAATAATACATTTGCTAATAATCCATATTTTCCACCATTAAAACAAACACGTGCAATATGTACTGAATATCCTGTTGATTATTATCGATCTAATGGTTTAAAATTTAAACATGGAAGATTTGATGAAACAAATATGATATATTATCCAAAATTTCCTGTTTTAAATATTTTACCATATAACTTTGAATTTAAAAAAGGTGCTGTTGATATATTTGAATCACGTTCAAAATCAACAACACTTGTTTTAAATTTAATACATCAACCGGATACAGATTGTATAATTTATAATGATAAATGGGATCCAAAAGATAATGATAATAATCAACCATATCAAATAATAAATCGTCATTTATTAATTGAACGTTATCTTGGTAAACGTGTTTTTGTTAATTGGCCACATTTTGATTATGGTGTTGTTTGTGCTATAAGTGATTTTCGACATTTTTATACTTGGTCAAATATTCCTGGTGGTTCACATTTTAGTTTTCGACCATTAACAAATGATGATAATCAAGATAATAAAAATTACAATCAAACACCTATCTATGTATCACGTTATCCATTTGAAATAAATGATGAAAATAATAAAACAATAACAAGTAAAACATATTCATTAGATCCAATACAAACACAGATGGAATATACAAAGGCAATAAATATTAATCGACGATATGAAAATCGACAAGGTGTTAAAATAGGGCCAATACCTTTATTACTTTATGTATGTCCATTAATTGGTTATCGTACTAAATGTTTATCAACATCGGATAAATGTCAAACAACAATGTGTTTTTCAAACCAAGCATTAGCTTATCCATTACAAACAACAGTATTGACAATACCAAATTATAAATATGATTTATTTCAATTTCCTCAAACAATTCATGATTATTTTAAAATTAATGATCCAATATTTACTTGTCAAACACCATATTATTCATGTATGGGTTATGTACAACAGATAATTAAAGATAATAATGGAAAATATATGGTTGAATGTCGTATGGAACCATCTGATATAACAAACCAACCTGATATACATTCATTATCAAACAGACTTAGTCGTTTACAATTAAATTATTGGACAGCACAACAGGTTGCTGAATATTTACAAACAATGCCATTTGTTATATCAAAACTAACAGGAACAATTATTGTAACGAGTGGAACAGGAGGACGTGAAAATATAAATCGAATTAATGTTGGATTTTCATGGAAAGGAAATAAACCTGTTAAACAAGTAAACAAAAATATGACAATTATATGTTTACGATCTTTTTCTTTTTTCTTTTATAGCTTTATGGTTATACGAAAAAAGAAGACCAAGTATGGCTTTATTCTGATGCTGCAGTACTCATTATTTCAGATTATATGTTGCAGTTAGTAGTTGTTATTTTTACTTTTTGGCTTTTTGATTCATGAATAGATTAATAAAAATTGTTTCGTTTAGATTTCCTGAAATTATTGCGGAATTAGTAAAAAAACCCAAAGATGATACATATCCAGAATTAAATATTTGGTCAACAAGAAAAGGGTAAACATAAATTATTTGATTAGAATAATCTTATTTCTCATATAATTCATTCATATTCACAAGAGTTTTTCTAATACATTATTGATCAACGAGCTTTTTAGTTTTTTATGATATTTGTTCATACATTTCATTTCATATGTTCACAATTAGAAATAATGTGACATGTACGCAACAAAAATTTATAATTTGATATCATAGATAATAGATCTCTTTTTTTTTGTTCTCGTATCAGACACTTCTTAAAGTTAAGATAGTCTGAAGTTGAAATGATTATAGTTACTAATTATGTCAAAGTCATCAATATCATTTCTATAAGTACTGATTATAATAATCTAAGTTTTAAAATGTTAATTTGTGCTTTTAATAGTTGCTTTAGCTTTTACGAGAAAATTGATCATTTTTATATACCTTCTTTGACTTTAAAACAATCACCATTTGCAAGTCTCTTAGAGCTCATACCGATCTCAATCGATAAAATAAATATGACATAGGAAGTCTTTACTAGCTTATCATTGTCATGCGAAGACTTGATTACAAACAGAAAAGCAATTGAGTTTGAACTATATTTATCTAATCTGTTTTGTATGATCTTATCATTCCCTATTTTCAAGGTGTTTGAAATCATGCGTTACTATTTAGTATTCACATATACTCGAATGCATATATAAAAGGATATAGTTCGATTAAATATTATAAATATATCATATAGCATTGAATCTTACTGGTAACCAAGCGTTCACATGTACTTTGACGATGGTCTAATTGTATAAATAATAGTTGGGCGTAATTGACACATATTATCAGCTTATTTTATTAATCTTAACTAGGTCATGTTTAGAAGAGGAGTGGTTTGATCTAATTTTGTGTGCTTATAATAGTGTGATGAAACTAGCAGGAGTTTGTACATGAACTTCTGATGGTTATGTCAGGGTTTATTAAAAAATTTGTCATTATTCAATTTTTCTAGCAAATCTCGATTACAAGAAGTTCGTACATGGATTAAAAATTTGCCAACATATTCAATGCCACTTATGGATGGTGCTTGGCAAGTACTTGATGCACCTGTTATAAAAGAAATAGATCGATTAACAAAATTATTCTACACAGTAAGTTTTTTATTCATGAAAATTTCTTTATTAGTTTTAGCTTTATTTTCATTTTGATAATTCATAGAAACAATCAATAAAAAATTCTAATGAAAAAACAAAATTAATTTCACTTGAAGCAAATCGTATCTTTAAACCAAGTGAACCATGTGGTATGTGTGATTTAGATATTGAAACACGTTATGATCTTTATGATCGTGTTATTACTGTTCGTCTTGGTACTGGTGTACCACTTGGTACACGTGGTACAATTATTGGTGTTATGCTTGGTCAAACACATTTAGATACATATTATGAAGTTTTATTTGATCACTTACCCAAAAATAGTCTTGAAGCTATTTTACTTGGTAAAAATAATCAACAATGTCGAATTAAAGTTCGTTCTTATCATCTACTTAATTATTCTCATTCACTTCGTATTCGTTCAATAACTAATTATCAACAACAACGATCAATGGCGGGTGAAAATGTTTGGGAAAAAAGATTATTAGAACAATCATCAACATCTCGACAATCACAAGGACAACAACACCAGCAACAACCGACTCGAATTCTTAAACGAACTTCAAATGATAATAATTCAACAGTAACAACACCAAAATCTGCACCACCAGCAACTTCTACACAAGAAAAACCTAGTTTTGTTGAAATAACAACTACTTCTATTAAAGAACAACATATGATAATGGAGTCTACACCTTCAATATCAACAGAAAAATCAACATTGCCTCAAGTAACAACAACCCATTCATTATTAGATTCACCATGTCAAAAAAATTCTCTGTTACCCCCATCACCAGTTGAAAAACTTCCTGAACCAGAACTAAATATTTCACCAGCAAATACAACCTTCCCAATTGCCAGTGAATCAACAACACCATTGACATCTTTTCATACAAATCCGAGACCAGATTCTTTATTATTGCGTGCCATTCAAGAATCGAAACAAATGCAGAATCTCATTGAACAACAACCGAATACTCAATCAACAATAGTTCAACAGCCATGGGATACAATTCCACCACCTTCATTACCAATAGTACAACAAAAACCTAATGATCTGTCTAAATCTGTTCAACAGTCATGTAAAACCATTCCAACATCATCACTATCAACACAGCAACAACCTGTTGATCTTCTTATGTCACGTCAACAAACATGGGAAACTCCAACACGTCAACCAGCTCCAAATACATGTATGTGACTTATTCTTTCTTATCTTAATTCTATTAAAGACTGATAAGAATCAGAGAATGCAATGCGAAAAAAAACATGAATATTTTGTAAATAAAAACTAATCTTGAAAAATTTTCTTCTTTCATTATAGTCTTTGCGCAAGCGATTGAAAATATGTCACGTGCACCACCATCTTCATTACTATCTTCCCATTCTGAACAACAATCATCAATATATAGTAGTCCATCGCAATCGGAATCATTTCAACAGCAACAGCAACAACAGGCACCTCGCTCTATTCTTCAACGTGCGATTCAACAAAGTGAGCAACAATTTAATACAAATCAAACATCTTTTGCAATATCAAATGAATTTACGAATGTCGCACCTTTTCAACCATTTGATTTATTATCTTCAAATACATATCCTGGTTTCCCTATTGCACCTTTACTCAATCAAGCTCCATCTCAATATCAGCAACAAATACCAATCCCATCGAACAATATACGCATGGGATCATCTCATACAATGTCTAGTCCTCATATGCCTCATAATTCTCCACCATCACAATCACAAACAGCACAACAAATGAGTTCACCTCGTATGACAGGTGGATCAACTCTTCAATTTGTTCCATCACAAGTTCTACGTAATATGTCTAAGAATCACAAATAAACAAACAAAAAAGCAAAACAAATGTATCAACAATCTATTTTGCTAATGTTTTCTTTTCACTTTACACGCATATAGGCAAGAATGTAGAGTTCTTCTTTATGTGATCATAATAGCCATCAAAAACTCTGTTATTTTCTTCGTTGTTTTTTTACTTCGCACTTCTTGTCTCATATATATATATATATATATTTATACATGTCTCATTTCGACAGTGACCGAAACGAATTTATAAAAAAAAATGTTTTTTCGGTTTCTTGTAGAGAGCATCGTTTCATTTTCTTGTTCTCTTTTTTTTTGTTTTGTCGTTGTTTAACGTCGATATAGATAGTGAAGGGAAAAAGATATTAATCATTATAACTAGGCTTTGTTCCGTTCTGTTAGGTTCTTTTTTTTCTTCGTTTTTCGTGCGTGTAAATATAAAAAAAAAAACAAGACAGAAAAGACACATTCGAAATTGTTTATTACTTAACTTAGATTTTGTAATAAAAAAAACACAATACAATGGTCACAACATTATTTCTTTTTGTCTGATTTTTCTTACATGATTTATTTTAGATTTCAAATGAGATTATTTGGATAAAAAAGATTTTGTTATGGGTAAATTATTTAAAGTATTAGTTTGGGGTAAGAATGCTGTCGGTAAAACATCATTAATTGAACAATTGGCCTATGGACGTGTAGAAGAAAGGGTTAGATTATTATTTTTGGACTGGTTTTGTTTTTTATTATCTTATTTGTTTTTTATTTAGCCATATCGAGAAACGATTGAAGATATATATTGTATACAATATGATAATAGTTTAAATGAAAAAGATATTGTACTTCGTGTACATGATATTGGTGGTGTGGTAAGTAAATTTTGTTTGTTTTTTTTTGAAGTTTTATCAAAATATTTCATAGAAAAATTCTCCTGGTGACGAATTTTCAAATATACGCCATTTAATGACTCTTGTCGATGTGGGATTATTGATTATTTAATAGTTGTTGTTTGGTTTTTTTTATTTATATATTTAGTTTTAGGCTGTTATTCTTGTATTTGATAATCGTTCAAATGAATCTTTTGAATGTTGTAAAGCTATTAAAGATATAATTGAAGTTAAAACAACAGATAAAAATAAAAAAGAAGTTTGTATTCAAGTTTATTTATTTTTAATTTACAATAAAAAAAGAATAATTCTTGTATTTGCCTAGATTTTACCAATACTTGTATTATGTAATGAAATTGCCTCAGATGAACGTCGATCAAATTTTACTCAAACTGATGGAGAACAGTGGACAGCTAAAGACAAATGTTTTGGTTAGTTTCATTGAAATTCGTTAGAATTATTTTTACTTGTATTTATATTTAGTGGGTAATCGAGTATGGTTTGTTAATCTTCATGATCGTACACGTACTGTTGAAGCATTCACTGCTCTTATGAAAGAATTATATAAACCACAAAGTAAGTCAATTTTTGTTTAAATATAATTGATAAAGTTCATACTTAAAAAATCTTATTACCTATAGCAGCAAACAAAGAAGCTGCTGAACGTAATATATTACCTCGTCTAGGCATAAGCGATACTGTAAGTGAATGAGAGAATATATTTGTTATTTTTCTTACTGGTGCTGGTAGACATACATAATCTGCAAAAAACACAAAAAGCAAAATTTGAGATTTGATTTAAAATACACACGTTATTCATATTAATTAAAAAAAAGCACGTCTTCTTATCATTGTGCTCTTTAGTGGACCAAATTTGTACGACGTTTATTTCGTCGACGTCGTTCATCTGTGTATGCCTGCGAAAATATAAAAAAAATAAAACTACACCCACATTCAATTTGATGATTAATATCGCACAGAATACTTTCTTTTGCTCGTGTGAGATCAACAAACAAACGAAATATGTCTTTTTGAATGGCTACTTTTTGACTGATGCTTTATGACTGACTGACTGACATTCAATAGTATTATTTGTGCATGTTTGGTTGAGGCATTGAACCATAAAAACGAACAACAAAAATTTTTATTGAATAATTAATTATATCTGTTTAATTTTTTTTAATTTTTAGGTAAATCGGGTTTTACGCTCGGCAGTAAGAAAGGGAAAACAAATGTGAACCAATGAATGATTTTTTTTGTATAAAAATACTCATTTTCTATACATAATAAATTTTTTTTTATTCAAAAATATTTTTCTTTTGAGATTTTTATTTTTTAGTATTGGCATATATACAAATATATTTATTTTTCAGATGTCGAGCAATACAACAACAAATCCATCGATCGAGTCTCAATTAGATTGTGCACTCGATTTAATGAGACGTTTACCACCACAGCAAGTGGAAAAAAATCTTTCGGATCTTATTGACCTTGTACCCGACTTAACTGAAGAACTTCTAGCTGCTGTTGATCAACCACTTAAAGTGGTTCGTGATCGAACTGTCGGAAAAGATTATCTATTATGTGATTATAATCGTGATGGCGATTCATATCGATCACCATGGACTAATACTTATTCACCACCATTTGATGGTTTGTTTAAAGAAAAAATAATTTTTCAGAATTTCGTTTTGTAATCTTTAATTATTTGACATACTTTCTAAAAAATTAAAGTGTAGCCTTAATATTTATTTTCATTTTTTTCCGTTAAATTAATATCTAATAACTCAATTAAAAAAGCGTGAACACATAAATCAGAAATGTGAATAAATGAATAGTTTCCCTTTTTTTCATTGACACTGTAATTATAACAAAAAGAAATAAGCTACCCTCATTTAATATGAGCTATGCGTTTAAAGTTCATTACGTTTCTATTCTAAGTACTTGATAATAAAAAATACTCTTGATCATATTTTAATAGTAATAGAAAATTTGAATATGGAGGATTTAGGAATATTCTATTGTCTTTATTTCCCGATTATTGTTAATGCCGATTTAATGCAAATGAGAAAATAAGAACACTTGAATTATAGATTAGTACTAAATTGACTGATTTAATCTTATAGATTATATTAGATAGAAAGTCAAAATGTTTCTTCTATATTTTTTCTAAAAACTAATAAATATCGAGAGAATTTGTTTTTGAAAGCTCCTAAAAAAAAGATTTCGTCTAAAAAAAACGAAATTAATTAAATATTTCTATTAAGGAAATCTTCCATCGGATCGTCTTCGTCAATTGGAAATTGAAGCTAATCAAGCTTTTGAACAATATCGTGAAATGTATTTTGAAGGTGGTGTTTCATCAGTTTATTTTTGGGATCTTGAAAATGGTTTTGCTGGTGTTATACTTATAAAAAAAGTTGGTGATGGTAGTAAAAAAATAAAAGGTTGCTGGGACTCCATACATGTTGTTGAAGTACAAGAAAAACAAAGTGGTCGCTCCGCACATTATAAATTAACATCAACAGTAATGCTTTGGTTACAAACACATAAAACAATGTCAGGCATGATGAATTTGGGTGGAAGTTTAACACGACAACTTGAATCTGATCATCAAATAACAGATTTTTCACAACATATTATTAATATTGGTAAAATGGTTGAAGAAATGGAAAATAAAATTCGACAAACACTCAATTCAATTTATTTTGGAAAAACAAAAGATATATTAAATAGTTTACGTAATTCGGAAAATTATCAAGGTCGTATTCGTTTACAACAAGCTAATTTTACAGGTGAATTGCAATCAGCACTTAATCGCACACGACCAGTTGAATAAAAGAAAATTTCAAAATTTTAATTTAGGAACTTCTTTCTCATTCTTTTTTGCTTCTATTTATCAAAAGAAAAAAAATAAATAAAAGAACAGGTGTATGTGTTTTAGAGATTTATTCATTTTGCTCTGAATAAGAGAATGCATTCAATAGGTGTGTTTATTTCATCTTTGATTTTTTTTACATGGAGATTTTCCTGTTTTTCTTTTTCCTTTTTTTTTATCTATCAAAGTTTGCTGGTGCATATGTAATTTCGCTTTACACACATGTAAATTTTATTATTAAAACATGTCATTCCATTTTTTTTTCCAAATATATCATAAATAGAAAATTTTTAGATTTTGTGTTTTTCTTATTGTTAATAATCATGTTAAAAAAATCAACATCATTATCTCCGTCAAAAAAAAGTTTTTTTCGATTAAATTCTATTGAAAATTATTCACCATCATTATTTAAGTCAACACAATCGATATGTGTACAAACGGACATAATTGAAAAATCTTCAAAATCCACAAATACACCAAATTATTTAGATGATATGTTAATACAAGGCAAAAATATGAATGATGATGAATTTGAAAAATTTATTAAAGGTAAATAAGAACATGATTTATAATCTGCAAAGATCTTTATAAGATCTTGCTCTTAATAAAACTATTTTGAGAATATAATTATGTCATGCTGAAAGAAACTCAATCTTCAATATGTTAATAACTTCGGTCAATTTTGTATTATTCCAATTATCAGACTTTGCTGATAAATCGGATGCAATCAATGAGAAGATCTCATTCGATTTCTGTTTATTTACATTGATTCCATTATCTTTTATTATGCATCTCAACTTTCTCCTGATTACAACAAGAATCTGACCTTTAATATTCTAGATCGAGCATCTGATTGTTATTGGAAAATTTTGGCTGAACGTGCTCGAATAAAACTTGATGATGAATTACGAGAAAATCGACAAGTACAATATTAAAAAAAATAAAAGAAGAAGGAAACTATACATAGAAAAAAAAAATTTTCTTTTACTTTTCTAGCTTCATGAGTTATTCGAAGAATTAACTAAAGAAAATGAACAATTACAAGCAAAAAGTGAACATTGTGAATATTTAACAAATGTTTTCAATGTATGTAAATCGTTCTATGAATGGATGAATCATTGTTATTATTCTAAAAATATTTATTTAGTCTATGACGTCAGAATATGATAGTGGTATTGAACTTCACATTAACGATGAATCTCCAATGTCAAAACGACAAAAAACACATATTTAAATATTCGAGTTTCTTTGTTTTTGTTTTTCTTCTAATTCTCCTATACTTCGTTAAATGTTTGTATATTTAACAAAAAAAAAGATTTTTGACTCTTCAATTAAGTAATATTTAATATCAGATATTTGTTTTGTTTCTGTTGTTTTTTCATGTATTTATGTTCTTTAATTTCAATGTCTTTCTTTCAATATTAAAATAAATAACTATATCTATATACTAATTTTGTTGTATGTGTATGTATGAATGCGTGTCCATATGCTATCCTAACATTGTTGATAGAAGTTGATTAATTTATGCTCGTTCTGACCTTTTTCATGTGTTTTTTTTATTTTCGTTCACGTTATTTGTGTTTGACTATATGAAATAGACTAAGAAATATTCTATTAGGAAAACAAATAATTGATTTCTCATTTGCATCCAGCTGTTGAATTTATTTATCAAGTACATGATTCGAACGTGTTGACAAAATATTAATAGATCGATAAAGAAAGACAAAAGTGAATTTGATATCTATCTGAATGACGAAAACATTTTTTTTTCTGATTTTTCTCTTTTTTTCTCATTCTTGCTTTCATATAACCTATTGTGTGCTGCTTGAGGCAGACAATACGTATGGTGATGATCAACTGTCAACATTAAATAATACAGAGCAAAAAAAAAAGAGTAATAGAATCATAGAGAATGAAAAAGTCACGCTTGCATCCTGTTAGAAAACAAGTCTTGAGGCTTGAAAAGAGATCAATATCAATGACGATCAACGACGATCCCATGATTCGAATAGATGATTGTATTGAGTGCTTGTTTTGAGGCGACAATGCAATTTTATTTGCTTTATGATTACGAAAAGCATTTCTTGTTTTTTATTTTTATTTTCTCAGTCAAGGCTATATTCAATTTTGTAACAACATATTGAAATTGGAGATGATCCACTTATAATTCGTCCTATGATTGATGCATTCTTAAATCGGTGCACCATACAAGCACGATCACAAAACATCGTTTGTTCCTCTTTATCTCGCCTATCATCATCATCATCATCGACTTTTGGCGACAAGCAGCAAACAAGAGGAGATTCATCTTATTCTAACCGGCGCTGTTGTCAATCAGATTAGTTCGTGCACAGTGACTTTCTCATGCTGATCTTCCTCATTTCTGTTTTTCCTTTATGATCATATTCTCTTATTATACACATCAACACATATATGTACACATACGGCGCTTGCGGTGATATTCACATGAAAAGTCTAGTTGGTTGTTTTATTTCACGTCAGAGAAGGTGCAAGTGGTTGAAAGCTTACACACAATCATTTACACTTGAAAAGGCACGTTTTTATGATTATTTATAGGAGAAATTTATCTAAGGAATAAGAAGCATGACTTGGTTTTTCTTATCATCTAGCATTGACATAAGTTTAAGATATGCCATATTGTCTCTGTTACTAATTATTCATGTTTTATCCGTATTCAAACGATATAGAAAAATGTCACAAAGTACCTGAAGGTAGACCATATACAAAAATCGTATAGTTATTTTATTTAGAAACTGATACTATTCTTTAAAACGTAAATGTTGGATCTATACAAAAATAAATATATAAATAGATTACAATTGAACAGTCTATGAAATCATTAAAAGCGTTTTCTTCTTACATGTAAGTGTTGTACTCATGTTTTGCATTTATACAGATAATTTATATTGATTAGCCAAACTGATTAAGAGAAAAAAACCAACTTTATGTTCTAATAATAATAAAACAAACAAATAAATTAAAGGTTTTTAGCAATAAAACAGAATGGATCTTCTTGTTGATTACTTTTGCCACTTGAGATTAGATTCTAACTTGATTATAATTACGATAGAGATTTGTAGAATTCGTTAAGGTTTTGTTTGTTATAAATTAATAAAGTTTTCTTCTATTTCTTATCTCTTTTCTATTACTTTTGTGTTCTTACTAATCCGTAGCATATGACTAGCACAATATATCGATCATATTAGTAAGAACGATGCGTTGCTTTTTATATTTATTCTAGCATTTTTTTCGCTCATCTTATTATATTCTTGTATTATTGATTTTCTTGTGTCATTGGTAGTTAATGAAAACATTGATAAAATATATAGATGAGTATTTCATTGGATACTTGAATCAATTCAATTCAATAATATTAGTATGGTATGTCAATGTTTTTGTTTCCTTTGAGATAACTTTTATATGTCAGTTTCACGAAGTTCATCTTACTTATCAACATCCTTCTCATTATTAAAACTAAGTTAGACTATTCTCATGTGACTTGTCAGCTAACATCACATTGACTAATTTAGCATGCTGAAAAATTTAGTTGTCATTAAATTAAATGGCGTGAGAAAGTCATGCAGTACGGATATAATCGTTTCTTTTTTGACAATTATTAGAATGGACTTGTATTCACTTTTTTGTTTATTTATTGAAGTACTAAGATAGACAATATTCATACAAGGTCATATTTCAGCAATTGCCTTTTTACTAATAGAATCTATGACTGTTCTCTAATTTCCTGTCAAAGATCAACGTGTTATCATGCGTAATCACAATCGTCAGACACGCTCTGCTAACAGTTTCTTTTTCGTGTTCTATGTATTCTATTTGATTGCTTGAGGAAACATGTACAATCAACAAGATTAAAATTTCCATTACTCAATAAAGAGTCATATCTTCACTGCAGATTTGTGTTCATTTCATTTAGATAATTTCTATCATAAATAGCTTTATTTTTTGACTTTTTTTCTGTTATAGATACAAATGAAACATAGATTAAAATTGGTTTAAAAAGATATATAAAAAATTATTAGACAACCGTGTTATTGACGATGAACAAATAATAAAAGAAAAGCTCATGTATTTTAAGGATGAAACTACTTAATACAAGCTTTTAAGCTTCAAAAGAAAGCGAGAAATTTTCCATAAAGATATATAACTATTTGATTAGATTTCTAGCACATTAGATGATATAGAGAAGCATTTTTTTTTTTTTATAACGAACAGAAACAAGCTTATTATAGAAGATCTCGTTCAGTCTTTTCTCTTCTTTTCTGTGACTATCCGTTTTATGGCTTGCGGCATACGATTAATAGCCGAGTACAGGAGTAGAACGAAAACTAATTTGACTGATGTCACATGTGATAAATGTTTTTTCTTTGTGGACAGAGTTGTAACACCCTTGCGTGCAATTTCTTTCCAACTATAATTGTATTCATCATTATCATTGTAATGAACCGATGACAGTGTATCTAATGAAAATTATAGCTCTCTCTCGGGTGTGGTCTGATCGACATGTAATATATTTTCCACTATATCGTGCTGTTCAATTAAGGTTGGACGCCTTTTTTTGCGCATCAGAAAAGTAAGTTGCATGCACAGATGCTTTCTGTTGATGTTTTCTTATGTTTGAATTTATTTTCCTGCATATCTATTGTAGTTGGATAAAATTAATTTTAAAATGAAATATGCCATGTAAGTACATGAGCAACAAGGAGTATGCTTAAGTACTGTTACACGCAATCCGTAATTGTATAGTAATAAAACTGTAAAAGAAAATGAGGATATTATTCACACGCACTTGCTATCTCTGTTTTCCTTTTTCTTTCTTTTCATTTGCATTATACATATGGATTCATTCCAAAGTGGTAAAACAATTGATGATAATAATATTTTCTACCAAACTATTCTACCTATTTATCGATGTCGAACAATAACTATTTGTAATTCTGTGGTATGCAGAACTTCATCATTAGACACATCTATTTTTACTCGAGCAGAAATTAAGTAAATGTTTGTATTGGGATCTCTATAACAAAATAAAGAACCATAAAAATAGACTTTCTTTTGTGCTATTCTTGACAATTAAGAGAACAAAACCTATCGTGATCCATGATAGAGTCATCGAACTTCGTTTTTTTTTTTGTTAGTCCATTATTATTTGACTAACAATAGCTACATGTGAATCTATTTTTCTTCCTGTTGGTATTATAGAATGCTAATCATTCACGAGACAAACAGCTAGAAAACTGTCAGCACTTTTTAGTCTCAATAGTACTGAATAACATGATTTTTGGTAAGAAAACAAATAATTGACACATCTCTGTCGTGAATTATTAGGGATGAGAGCACATTCACACAGACGTTGTCTTACACGATTGTCTGTGATTAAAGATCGTTCTGTGTCGAGTGATAACAAAACTATTGATCATATTAGTGTAGACTCTCTTTCTTAACACGTAGTATGTGTTTATCAATATCTTTTCTGTCTTTTTACATATATATATATATATGCACACATATATTTTCCCTTTATTTTTTCTTCCAATAGCTAAGTAGATGATGCGTTTTGATAAAGAAAGCAGCTAGACATATAAAAGGACGTAAATTAGAAATAAAAGATAATATTATCTAACATAATACAACATATGTTGATCCATATACTAGCCATAGCAACAGAAAAATACATGATCATAGAGTTGATCATATTATTTTTTTGTTGTTTTTTGTTTCATTTGAAAGAACATCAGAGGAAGAGAGGTGAGGATTAATTCAATGAGACAAAAAAAAATACAAAGAGAAAACTATAATAAACGGAATTATGATTGTTGCTTCTTTCGCTTTTCTTTTTTTTTTTTAGTTTTTTTTTTGTAATTAGAGCGAACATACACCCTAGAGGTAATCAGAAAAGAAAAAAGAAGAGCCAGACAGAGCAGGAGAAAGAAGAAAAGGGAAACAAGCAAGCAGAATAAAAAAAATACTAACAATCTTTATTATTATAGCATCAAAATTTATTTTCTTTTATCTTTCTTTCACTTACTGTTATTTTAATGCTTTTCAAATTATTTAAAAATCATTTACTATGTTTTGAGAGTTTTTTCCTTTAAATTTGAAGATATGCATCATGAATAATTACAATGAGTATTTCAATGTCTACGACATATGTCGATTTTGTCAATGCTACATTGAACAACAATCTAACAATAATAG